AGGGATAGTGCAATCATAATTCACAGCACTAGAGTTCATGAAACTGAGATTGAATGAAAAAAAAGAATATTACAAACTCACCAGTGTAAGTCAGAGGCATGGTTTCCTTTATCACCATTGCTATTTATAATCGTTATGGATGCACTGAATGGTATGATGGAACAGGCAAAACATTTACAGCTTATTAAAGGTGTGAAGGTTGGTAGGGGTGATGATGCTATAGAGATTTCTCACTTATTTTTCGCGGATGACACATTATTTTGTCAACCAGTAACGTAATTCCTTCTACACTTAAAGTGCATCCTTCTATGTTTTCAAGGGGTGTTGGGACTCAATATCAATCTTGATAAATCTGAATTAATTAAGATTGGTGATAAGGGTATGAATGCAGTCTTGCAAGGGTTTTGGGATGTAAAACAGCCAATTTACCTATTAAATTTCTTGCGGTTTCTCTTGGAGCAAAGTTTGAAAAGAAGAAAACATAGGAACCGGTAATAGACATGTTCGAGACTAGATTAGTGGGGTGGAAGAGAAATTTCTTGTCTAAAAGTGGCAGATACACTTTAATAAAGAATACCTTTGCAAATTTACCCGTTTATTATCTCACAACTTTGACTATCTTGGCAAGCATTGCAAAAAGGTTAGAAACCATCCAATGTCAATTCCTCTGGGGCGATGGAGAAGATTGCAAGAAGTTTCATTTAATTAAGTGGGATGAAGTCAAGAAGCCTCTTTATCTAAAAAAAATAGAAGTCAAGAAGCCTCTACATGGGGGTAGTTTGGGGATTAGATTGGTGATGGAATTCAATAAAGCTCTCCAAGGAAAGTGGCTGTGGAGATTCTTGAAAAAAGATGGAAGGATGTGGAGAAGGGTTATTGCGGCCAGGTGGCAGAACTGTGCACTATCAGGTACAGGAAGTTTGAATAGAAGAGGGCATGGTTTAGGCTTGTGGAAGAAAATCAAGATGGGATGGCCAGGTTTCAAGGAGAGTTTGACTTGGAAAGTGGGCAGAGGTACTGTCACTAGATTTTGGCATGATCAGTGATTAGAGGGGGGATACCTAAAATTCTGTAATCCAAGTATTTATGCAATTGCACAATCCAGATATATGCTGGTGGAGGAAGCCTAATCGAGGGAGAATGACAGGTGTACTTGGTCTGTGATTGTTTCCAGAAATTTAATGACTGGGAAGTGGAGGAGCACGAAGAGCTGGTGCATAAAATTTCAGAATTTTAGATTACAAGTGATCCAAATTAAGTGCTGTGGAGGTGGTGCAAAAATGGTGAGTTCTCTGTGAGCTCTTACTACAGTAAATTGATGGGATTTGCACCGGATAACACCCTCAATTTTCCTAGCAACCTGATCTGGAAAACTACAGAGCCACCTGGGATGGCCTTCTTCGCTTGGGAGGCTTGTCGGGAAAGCATTTTGACTTTGGATAAATTGAAAGTTAGGGGATTTACAAAGGTGAATGGATGCTTCATGTGTTTGGGGGAGGAGGAAAACTGTCGTTATCTTCTGCTTAGATGCCCTGCTGCTTATGAATTATGGTGTATGGTTTACGGTTTATTAGGCATCTGCTGGGTTGCTGCAGGTTCGATTGTGGATGAGGTCCAGGCTTTGGGGGGTGTTGGACTGAAAACAGATATTGCAAAACTTATTCCCATCTAATTTTTTGGGTTATTTGGAAAGAAAGAAATTTGAGAGCTTTAGAAGTAGTTGTGAATAATAAGAGTAAATTAAGAGAGAGATGGTTTCATTATTTTGGATTTCTTGTGATAGGGACATTATTAAGGCTGAGGACGTTAGGAATGTTATTGATACACTAATAAACTTGTAAATCTTTTGTAAATGATCAGTACCTCCTTTTTGGTACCCTGTTAATATACTTACTATACTTTTTTCTTTCAAAAAAAAAAAGAGTCAGAGGCATGGTTGAGGGTTGGAAAAAGTAGGAACAATACAAACTCGCCAGAATAAGTTCCATAGTCGTATGGTTCTTGATGAAATAATTCCAATCAAACTATCAAACAAGAAATCTGACAGAAACAAACCTTGCCATCATAGAAATTGAAAAAGAAAAGGAAGAAATTAATGGAGAAGGAGAGAAAATCTTCAATGATAAAACAGTGAGCACAAACTCCATCTGATACAGACCCGGAAGCAGCTAACCCCGTAGACATACACTAAATTACTTGGGCCAGTAGAATATGGAACAGCAAAAAAATAGATATTCAGTTTTGAGAAGTGAATGAAATTAAGCTTTGGAAAAAGAATATAAGAGTGGCATGGGACAAAAAGATAAAAACAGAAAATGGATTTTACTACAATTTAAAACATCTGGTGGAAACATAAAAGTAGCAATAGCAATTTCCGGGAAGATAATCACATAAGGCATGTAAGCTGAATAAAACAGAATAGAAGTTCACCGTGCAGAAAGCAGACATTTTGAAAATTAAGGGGGAAGTTGAAGAACTCTTTATGACTATCTACATGTAACTGTGACCTTGTATCCTACTTACTAGCTACTCTTCTGAATGATTTATAAATACTTCAAGCTTTATGATAAATCATATTTTTTAATACAACCATATAAACCAACAAATCGGAAATGAAATCAAGTGTACGGCGTAACCACAGGATAAAGCAAATTAAGACCAGGAAATGAGCAATGCCATATGCATACCTGAACCAGATAATAGAATATGCGAAGCCCTTCAGGATCCTTACTGCTCTGCACATCAACAAGTGAACCTATCTTTGAAGTTGTGAAGGAAATATGCTCATTTCCCATAACAATTTCAAGCTCCTGCCTGCCAACACGATCCGGCTCGGGCCAGTTATTATCATCTTCCTTCATTATCTATATACGGAAAGCAATCATTAGTTAAACAATTAAACACCACAAAGGATTTTCCCCCTAAAATAGCTAAGAGCATAATTAAACGCCAAGGAATTATCTCTTCCTCGCTTATTTTTTATCTTCCCCGTAATCTTTTGTCGTTCGCTACCCTGGAATTTCTAAATTGCCATCAAGTGTAATTGTTTACTTCCCTTGGAAAACGCTAAAATAAAAACACCGAAAGCTCTTCAAAATCAGAACAGAAGCAGCCAGACAACCATGAACGGACACTTAATTTAGACCCGTTCTCCCATAGACTAACAATAAACTAAAAACAGCAAAAATACCTAAACCCTAGCTTGGATTTCTTGTGCTATAACTGACTGAAAAAATAAAAGAATACATACATCGCTCTCATCGACTATGCGCTTGCATTCCTTGAGGACGGCAGGGGTGAGGAAAACCTCTTTGCGGATCATCGTGTCGTTCTTGTAGTTGGAGTTGTTGGCGTATCGAAGCTTTCCGTCTGGCCTGAACTCGAACTCCAAAAACTCGTGTCCAAATTTCCCCTTGTGCCCAACGTAGTACCGTAGGTAGAACTCTCCATTATCTTCCTCTGCTGCCATCTCTCTTTCTCAGCAACCAGAACGCGGAGATAGGGCATCGAGTCTCCCTGGTTCGACTTTTCCAGAACTATGGGAATACAGTCGGGTGCCCGGTTTTAGCCCAGCCCATTTGGATGTGTCCTTGGGCTGGATGACGTGACCCAACCTTCACTTGCATCTAACTTCGTACTTGTATTTCCTAAATTTGAGGTTTTATGTGAAAACAATTATACTTCTTAAAAGGCAAAAATAAAAAATTATAAACAATTAAGATAATTTACTGGTTTTATCCTAATTGGTGTAGAAAAAAATTTTTAATCATATTTTAATTAAAGTTGAGAAAATCTTTCTCCCAATGAAGCACTATTTACATGATAAAATTTTAAATAAAATATTAAAGGTCTGTAAAAATCTTTCTATAGTAATTTAACTACAAACTATTTGCCTATAGAGTCAGACTTTGGGGAGTATATGAACCGAATAAATTTATTTAATTTGATTAATATATTAGTTTATAAAAGGTTTTCAATTTTGTAATTGATTTGGTCAAAATATTCTTTTTACTTTATACTATGTTTGAGTAATAATTAGTAAAGGAAGAAAAAAGAAAATTGAAAAAAAAAAAAAAGCTTTCTAAAGGGATGGAAAAAGAAAAGTGTGCCCCTTATTTGGAAAATTAAAGTATTGTTGTAATGTTTATTATGTTTGACGTTGTAAATGAAATAAAATAATATGTTTAAAGAAATAGTTAATGATATATTTTATAATAAAATAACAAGTTGGATATTGAAAATAAAACAAAAAATTTCTCTTTAAAATTTTTAATTTCTTTACTTTTCATTTTTTCTCTTAATTTTGAGAAATAAAAAAATCAATAATTGTTAAGAAAAAACAAATGGAAGCTCACCATCCCTTTGTTTCCTTCAATAATTTTTAGTGCAAATTTCAGCTTAATTGCTTATAGTTTGAGATTTTCAAATTGAAGCCTTGTGATCTTTTTTTATTTTTTAACTGCTCACTACCTTATGGTTCAAAAGTTAGTTTAACTTACTACCTGATACTCCTCATACTCTTATATTGACGGGGTTGGTTAATTAATTTGATAGAAAAATTGAACTATGAAATAATAAGTTGTTAAAGGAAAAACAATACAATTTTAAATTTAAAAACTCTAAACCACAAGGAGTGAAACTAAAATTCAAATTATTTTTTTGCATCCTAACAAGAGAAAAAATGTTAAACATCTTTTATTTTTTCTTCGCTTACCTAAAAAAAATATAGTGATAAAGAGAGATCACTTTTCCCTTTAAATAGAAGACCTTGTATAAGTCAAACTTCAATAAAATCAAATCTCGCTCACTTCAGTTTAGTGAAATTATGACTACACCTTAAACTTTTTCATGTAATGCAATAACCCTATTAGATAATACTTCATGTTGCTTGATCATTGGGCACCTTACTAAGTAATGCATAATGTTATCTAGCTATCTTGATGACATATCAAGTAATATATAATGTTATATGGTTACCAAAAAACTTACCGTATAATATATAATGTATTACCTAGTATTTAATGTTACTTAGTTATTGAGTACCTATTAGTTAGTATCTAATATTACTTAGTTATTAGATGCCTATTAGGTCATACACAAAATAGTTACTGTGCATTTTATCAAGTGGTACTTAATGGTATTTAACTATTGAACAACTTACCAAACATTACTTGATGTTACAAGGCTAGTAGTAATAGCAATATGACCTTAAGCCAATATCAACATGATGTGGTGGGGTATTTAATGTGTAGTAATCTTTATATACAAACAATAATGCATAAGAAATTTTAATTTATCATGAGCTAAAAATCTATATGGGGCACCTTTTGGGTGTGGGATGTTCATTTAACCTTTGTATTCATCTCATTTTATTATTTACGTGGGTATACTATGTTTTTAAAAGGATTTTTTATAACAACTTTTACTTCAACTTGTATTGGACCGATTGATATACTAAAAATCAAGTCTTTAGTCAACTAGTGGAATATATCACATCAACTTGGGAGCAATAGCCAACATGGTACATCTAGTGGAATACATCACATTAACCTAGGAGCATTAGCCGATATGGTACATCAATACATGTTCCTATGAACATTTGAATCTTATCTAACTCTGCATTTTTTTGTAAAGGTGTCTTTACTTAATTGTTATATTATAATATGAAAAAAAGTCTTTAAGTGTTATTATTCCTAGGATCACAAACACATACTACTTATGATCTAGTTTAAACTTAGATGCACTATGATTATGAATAATAACACAATTGATCTGACCAATGACTTATAGTGTTGATAACCAAATGTATAGATGTTCATCAAAGTATAAGCTCATTAAACTAGTCAACATAGATGTATTACATGGAAAATCACTTCCTTGTTAAACATGAGAGATTCATCATGGTAGTTGCGTAGACTAATATTTGGATTTGAAGTGACTATAATCATTTTTTGAGTATTTTACCATGTTTTAGTACAACCGACCCCATGACACTCATGCAGTTACTTACGAGTAACAGATTGTCTATCAATATTCGCCCACATCCATGAGTTCGGACTAGTGTTTAAACTTGAAGTGACAATAGTTACCTTATAAACGTGGCACTATTTTTTTTATTACAATGCATAAACATTCACTACAATATAGAGATTGTCATTAAGCATGATTTCAAACTCATAAAGGGAAATGAATACTAACAGAGGATCTTAAGTATGAGAGAATATGTCTTGTGTGATTGAGGATACTTGATCTAGATAATTCTCTTAACTAAAAGTGTGATTAGTTATATAGGAATTTTCAACTGATAAATGAGATCACCTAAACTAATTAAATTATATAAAGTTTGATGAATATGATGTCTCGGATATTATTCAATCCTCATTTCTGTTTGGGGGATGTATGATACAAAGACCTTATTATATAAAAACCATCTAAGAAAATTTTCATTTGTGGAGAGGATCCATTAATGGAAAAGTTCATTCCTCGATGAATGAATCTACAGAGTAAAACAAGCTAATAGGTAAGTGCAACATGATTCAAAATTTTACTTAGTTTCCTTTTAAGTTTGACAGCACCATACCAAAATATGCCTTTAATCTTTATCAAAAGCTAGACATTCATTTGCTAGGG